ATCTCAGCCCTGCACTGGCTCCTGGGGCAGGGCAGCAGAGCAGCAGGCCCCATGGGGCTAAGTGCTGGCTTGGGGGCTCCTGGAGTCTCAGGCCATGTTTCTGGAGCAGGAGGCAGAGATTCAGTCCCTGCCTGCCTGCTGACCAAAAGGGGAGTCTGGGAACTGGATGGGGGGGCACAATGACCATGCAACAACCTGGCACCATCTAGCAAGCAGTCAGGCTGCTGGGGCCTCCCCTCCCCCTCCCCACCCAGGGCTGGCTCAGTTTTGCTCCCCAGATACCGATGTTATGGGCCTCATCAAAGACGACCACAGACTTCTTGGCCAGCTCCTTGGAGACCAGGTCAGCAATCTTGGGGTCCAGCAGGTAGTGATAGCTGTACACCACGATGTTGGCATGGAGGATCTGTGTCAGGGCACCAAGGATTAACGTACCCAGGGAAGGTTCCCCTCCCCTCCCTCCCCCAAGGCTCTGCAGGGAGGGGATATGGAGACGGCCAGCCCAGTTCTGCTCCCAGGGCTCTGCAGACCAGGCCAGAGCACAGCTCCTCGGCCCTGCCTAGCCTGGTACCCTCCTAGGTTGCCAACTGTCAGCAGCTATGGGGCGGGGAGGAAAGAGGGGCCAATGGGGTACAGCTGGGGCAGCATCACGTGGGCTGAGGCTGGAGGCAGAAGGGTGAGAGTGAGCAGAGGACCCGATGGAGAGGGGAGCACTATAACCGTGGCTGCAGGCATGGGGCAGCCAATCCGTTTTTCTCCAGATAATCTGCATGTGTTTTCACTGACAGACCAACCTGTTACTAGTGTTGGTGCCTAGCCCCATGGGTGAACCAGGCCCTTGTCAAGGCCCTGCAGAGTCGGGCAGCAGAGCTATGTCCACGCGTTGTGTGTCAAGTAATGCGTGTGTTGGTAAAAGTCAGGTCGTCAGTAAAAAAAGTTTAAAGATTGTCAGCTAAAATCCCTGTCTTGGCCTCCCTTCAAGGGCAGGGCCTGGCTGCCCAGGAGCCCCCACCTTGGGTGCAAATAGGCCTGATCCTGAGAGCGGCAATAAACAACTCAGGGTCACCCCTCCAAGTCCAGGCCCCCGTGTGAGGGGCAGGATTGGGTCCAGCAGCCAGGAAGAACCAGATGCCACCCCCAGGCCCCAGCCTGCCTTCCTCCCACTTTGCCCCACACGGAGATGAAGGAGGCCCCCTGTACCGAGTAGCGGGCAAGGAAGTAGGGGCACCAGCCCTTCTGCCGCCCGAAGCCCTTGAGGTCGTCCAGGTTGTAGACACCGTAGGGCAGCGGTGTCTGGCGCCCGTGCACATCAAACTCCTGGGGGAAAATGAAGCCTGTTGGCCCAGCCCAGGGCTTCCCCGCACCTCGCACTACCCCTCCACCCAGGGCTCGCAGCAGCTCCCCTGGCACAAGTGTGGGGGTGGCACCCGCAGCCCCCTCACCACGCGCGCTTCGTACCTCGTAGAAGCGGCAGGTGGGCGTGGTGCCGTCCCGCTGATGCTGCGCCCGCACATACGACGCCGTCAGGCTCAGGCACTTGCCGTCCACTTCCTTCCCGAAGCGCAGCAAGCTCACCTGCCGGCAGGCCCCGTTACGCCCCACCACGGCCACGGCCACGGGGTGCCCCCAGCCCCCCTCACTCCTGCCCCTGCCCCAACTCTGCTGGCGCCTCAACTACCCCAAGCCGCGCAGCCCTGGCTCGGATGCGATTCTCCGCTCCCTGCCCGTGCCCGGGGCTGCCACTGAAGGGCGGGGGGGAACGACCTGGGCTCGGCGCTGAACCCGAGGCTGGACGGGGACCCCCGGCTCTACCCCCTGCCAGCCAC